TTAACATGTATCAGATTTCAGTAACATTAGTTCATGCATCTGTTTAGTTACATTAACATTGAATCTATGAATTAACCCAGACAACATGAATGAACAACAGTCATTTGAAACTTAATGGTTGACTGATTTTTCAAAATGTAAATTTTGTGAGGTATAATAAATTAGTTAATGGCCAATTAAGATTGATCGCAACACTGGCGCTTAGTTTTTTACAATCTCCTCAAAGTGCTATTTTTATAAGTTAACTTTTAATATTATGTGAAATGTTACACTAATCATTAATGTTATTCAAATAATAAGCGAATCCAGTTTTGAGTATCAAAAGGAAAACCAATATGTACAACGATCTGTAATATAGTCTGTGGATTCTCAAATTAAATCGTTTTTAAATAAAGATCTACTTAAATAGTTGTAGTTCACTTGAAAACTTGATTACCACTAAACATATTAAGTTACATTTTCGAAAATTGTATCGCTACACCACTTACTGTGTAACCAAATATGTCTTGCTACATTTTCCCAGAAGTAGAAAACATTTTCGCTACTGTTAAATAGATACCCCTTTTGAAAATGAATGGGACATAAAATGAAGGGAAAAAGGCAACAGATGTAGACTGTATAATCTGTTCAAACGTACATCTCGGTTCGAATCAGAAACCATTATGATTTAAAAGCTGTAGAATCCGAGGTTCCCTTTCTGGAGACTACTTTTATGTATCTACTTACTAACGTACTTGCGCCTGTTACCTCTAATCTAGCAACGGTCGCGAACTAGCATTCTGAAACCTTCCCTGTCTTGAACCTTCCTTTCCAGTTCTGCCCAGTTGCTATTCATTTTCTTCGTATCTGTTTCCGATTCCCAGCGCAGTTTGTTCCTTTATCTACCGCTTTTCTAATTTAGGACTTACCTCGTGATACAGTTGAGTGCATTCCAGAATGTGTGTCCTATGCATCTACAGGGCTTTTTCCTAATTTCTCTCTCAGCTGGAATCTGGTTCATTCTCACCCACAGTAAATTGTTACTAATTGTGCCTGGTCAATCGATCCTCAGTATCTTAGGTAGACAACTGTTGATTAACACCCATACCTTTTGAACTGTGTCTTTCGTAGGTCTCAATCTTTCTGCTCCATGTAGGAAAACTGTTTTGACGTTTGTTTGGTAATTGTGACTTTGTTGTTGGTTGACAGAGTTTTAGATGTCCTTCGACTGCAGAAATACTGCCCTCGCTTTGCCACTACATGTCTTCACATCTGCACCTGATACTCTTTGTTTATCAATAATTCTACCTAGATACGTAAAGGTTTCTACATCCTCAGTCATTTCCCTGTCAAGTGTGACTGGGTTGGTGAACGGCGAGTGGTCTCAGAGGTTCTTGCTTTTTCCTTTGTGTATGATGAGGCCCACTGCAACAGAGGCTGTTGCCGCACTGGCCATCTTTCCTGGAATTTGTTGCTGTGTGAGATGAATGGGGAAGATCATCTATGAAGTCCAAGTCATCTAGATTCACCCTAATTGTCAAATGAATGCCTTGCTTCTGCTAATATGTTCAGGCTTTCAAAGTCCAGGCAACCTAATTAGAGGGATACAGGGTGACCGTGAGCAACCTTGTCCCACACCAGTTTTCTTTTTCAATGAATCTGTGACCTAGAAAGGTAATCACGGGAGCTGCAAGTTCAGACACCAGCAAAATCATCAGTTGTTAAATTACCAAAATACCTCTTAACGGTACTTAGCGGTGTGTGAGAGTTTGAGAAAAAATCGCCAACAATGTTGCCTCATAAACGATACTAATCAGGTTTCGAGGCTAACTGACTGAAAATTAGGGCTGTCCTTGATAGAAAAAACGATGAGATAGACACTACTCAAGGCTTGGAACGAGCATTACTTGAGCCGAAATGTGCTGGCGATATAAGAGCCAAAATGTAGTAGAGGTAAACCCTCTCCATGTAAAATAAATTCACATTCAGCACAGATTGTAGAAAAGATGCTGCTGACATCTTAGGAACATTAGTTTATACTGTCCTCACCGACCTGAGTCCGACATGACGAACTGTGGTCTTTAAGCGTGGACACTGAAAGATCAATAAAATTCCAAGATCTAACCAGTATGTAATAGTGTGAATGACATCACGAGTTAGGGTGAGCATAGAATATTGAAAGGTCTGTTTGTTTAAATGGTCACCCCTTGATCAAATGCACCAATGAACAAAACCTGAGTAGAGACCTGACAAAACCAAATTGCTGGTTTTTAGCAAATACAAAGTAGGAGTAAATGCCAGTTTCAAAACTTTGAAGGTCCTAGTAGCGAAGATATTACAAACTTGGAGGTGGCTGAGATCTTTAATGCCAACTCCACAGACCAGTTGAACCAAGTAACTACAAGCTCATCATCGTTCAACTAAGGTTCACTCTTCACTCTGACAGTTATCAAAAACCTGAGAGATGAAATTAGCTCAGCTGCAATAATCGATGCAGACGATAAAAAGATATGGAGGTCCGTAAGAAGTGGAGAGAATTCACTTGAATTTTCTTTGAAGCTAAGAGCAATAAATGAATGGGCAGAAGACTGCGGGTTGAAACGTAACCGGTCAAAGTTTAATGTCATGAAAATTCTACTCCACGTGACACATACCACTTACATCCTCAATAGAAGTTCGCAATCAAATGTTTCTCCAGAGCGCGATTTCCGGACAGTATTTATTGATACTTTGAGCACGAGCTCGAACTATATAGATGTGATCAAGGCAGACACAACTGTTCAATTTACACCAAGATAATATGGTTTCATCACCTCAGAACTATTTTAAACATACGGCTACATCTTGAAGACCACAACATCATTGCTTATCACTACTTAAAAGAACTATAAATCTAAATTGAATGGATAGATGAACAACTGAGTAGGTAGCAGAGTTGAAGAAAAAGCCTTAAGACAGACTCTAACATTTGTTACTATACTCGCTGACTTATAAGAGAATAAGAAGTAATTTGGTGGTATTAAGTACATCAAGTCATCCAAACATAAGAATCCTACCAGTAAGTCGCCAAAATATCTCTTGTGGTAGTCCCCGAAAATTTGTACACTGAAGAGGAAACACTTAAGTGCTCTACAACTATTCTCATTGACATTTGTTCCCACTTGGAATGCTCTCCTAACCAAAATGACCAGAGCCCTCTGAGTAGACAGCTTATAAAAAGACTTGTTGAACACGTGCGCAGGTATAAATTACCAGCTACCTCTTGGACCAGTTGTGTATTATGAAACTCTTGAAACTTGTTTGTTGTTATCATGTGCTTTTCCCTATGCTACTAACTTATTGTATTTTGCTTAGTATCTCTGCTTCCTCTTCTTTGCTTACACTTCTTTACCTTCGCACAATCTTCACCACCGATTAAATAACTTATTTAATTGTTTACACAGTTCCGAAATTTTCCCATTCTCCCTAGCAATACACTTGTATTCATTACTCTTCATACTGCAGCTAAATGATCTCCGACTTGGTAATGTAATGGCCGCTGGTATCTATAAACCTTACTTCCGTGAGACAAACTCACCTACTGAAATCACAGGACGTACAAAGCGAATGCCCTAACTGTTGAGCGGCTATTTACAAATTCATTTTCCATTCACTTTAAGATTAGGTTAGATAATATGGATGAAGAATATTTGAACACCAAATTAAGATCTGATTATCATTTACACATATTCTCCATGATTGTATTAGTAAAGAAAGCTTACTGGTGTGATGACGAGTGAAATGGAAATCAGTGTGGATGTGGAAGGCAATGAGCAAGCTTCGTCATTCTTAGTTTGACCAACCAATATAGAAATAGGGACTGAACAGATACTGTAAATCTTTATAAGGTCATCTATTTATCAGACTCTATCTGCTGTAACTGAATGGAACACTGATAACAGCTAGTATACTTCAACTACAACCACACTGTCGCATGTGCTAGAAGCTCAGTAGGACTATTATATCATTGAGGTGTGAATAATTTGTAGGTGGTTAAACCATTCACATAAAGAATGCACAAAGCATTGTATGCATAGAGTTGAAAAATATTATGCTTTCACCTCAACACTTGAGTCTTTCCCGCTAATGCTCAAAAACTTTTGAGAGTAGTAGGCCGTCTATTGAAAGATGATGACATGGAAATCATTCCTTAGGTAAATATCACACTGTCTAATCTTCTCTTCTAAATTACTTCAATTACTTTTAGAATTCAAACTGCTCGTACTCACATGTAGTAGTTCTCCAGAACTTCAGCTAGCGCATGATCGACTAACTTGATTATTCTACACCCATAGTTAACCCTGAAGGTTAGGCTAAACGGCTTTGTGAATAGTTTCACTACTACTTGCGGTAGTTTTTCAATGACAGTCATATCCAGACTGGAGTTTGTGAACTCCTTTTCCGATAATGTATCGTTATCCGCATGTTCTATTTACATTAAGAAACGCAGCATATGTTTTCGTAAGATTTCACTGATCGCTATAAGAATACCCGTTATTGATATCCTTATCGAAATTCTGCAGTCTTAGACTACCAGGTATCAGTATACAGAGACGCAGACAAGAACCAATTTTTTTACAGTCCTACTCCCAATCCCTGCTCCAGAACACTAACGTGTTAACTTCATTGATTAGACCGTTAACTTGATATTCATTATCAGTATACAAATTTTGAAACAGGTTGCCATAGTCTCCAGAAATGACAGTCATGGATAAATCTAAATATGGCTATGACGGACTGATTTCTGGAAGTCATCCTATGTAGGTCGTACATCCTTACAAGGTTCCTAAATTTCCTGAAGCAAACTCGCAGCTTCCGCTGTTAGTTTTAATTAATAATATTTGAGTAAATTATATAATAATTCATCTTAACACACAATGGACACTGGTTATTAATTCATTTGTTTTTGTTTAGTCGCATCTCTAACAGCATTACAGAGGTTAATTGTCTTGGAGCTGTCGCTAGTTTGACCAATCGGAGTGATGGATCACGATGAGGATATCTATGATCGAGACTGCGGTCTTGTTGAATCGGATGAAGAAACTCGGATGGCTGAAAAGGATTTGGCCGAAGATGCACAATGGAAAATATTCCAGAAAAGCACTTTTACTCGCTGGGCAAATGAACACCTGAAAAAATGTGATCTCTTTATTGAAGATTTAGAAACTGATTTGAGTGACGGTCTTCGCCTGGTTGCCCTTGTCGAAGTCTTATCAGGACACAAGTTTCGACATGTTAACAAAAGACCAACGTTCAGGACTCAAAAGCTTGAAAATGTTACTACTATTTTAAAGTATCTGGAGGAAACTGAAGGCTTACGCCTCATCAGTATAGGTAATAATCAAAATAAATCTCTTAATAAGTATTTCAGACAGCAGCCATATCGTCGATTGCAACTTAAAGCTCATACTGGGTTTAATTTGGACTCTTATTTTACATTACTCTATATCTGTACCCTTAACAGCAGACGATGAAAACGTTCTCCAGGTAGGTGTTAAGTATGTTTTGCGGAGTTTCCAGTTAGTAATTTTATGAAACACTTTTTGCAGCACAATATGGCCTCTAATATTTTTGCCTTCAGTCTGTTTGTGACCAAATGTTTTTATTCTATGTTTTGTCTAACTTTTAGCGGAATGGTGACCTGTAGAACCATATGCGGGTGCTACATCACCAAAAGTGATATGGCATTATTTAACGAAGGAATTCTCTAATTAGTTAAGATCAAAATTAATCTTAGTTTCTCTGTCGCCTTATATCGATATTGATGTTAATCAGATGGTTCAGCGTCTACTGATCACACTATCCTCATTGACAATTTTTTAAGTCTACTTCATGACCTATAGTTTAACGCTAACCATAAATTAAATACTCGGAGTCTGAGTGTCGGTAACTAGCTATTTATTTAATCCAGATTTCATTTAACTGGCGAGGAAAATGATCAGTATGCAAGTAACAATATGTTAATGTGTTAATCCTGGTGTGATACAATTTAAATACCATCCCAACTAATTACTTTTAATTTATTAGAAGGATGAAAGAACCCATACTCAAGGCCCTAAACAGCGTTTGCTCACTTGGGTCAAACAGAAAATGCCAGACATCCCAGTTCGGAATTTCACTACAGATTGGAATGATGGTATAGCTATTGGAGCTCTTGTTGATGCTTGTGCTCCTGGACTTTGCCCGGATTGGACTCATTGGGATCAGAAGAAACCCTTACGTAATGCTACAGAGGCTATGACTGCTGCAGAAAATTGGTTATCCGTCCCCCAGTTAATCCGTCCAGAAGAGATGATCGATCCTAATGTTGATGAAAAGTCGATGATGACATATATTAGCCAGTTCCCCAATGCTTGTTTAAAAGAGGGCGCACCTTTAAGAGACAAACTAAATCCTTCAAAAGTTCGTGCGTACGGTCCAGGTAAGATCGAATTATCTTTTAGTCCACTACTAGATTTGAATTGAATTACTTTGCATTGTGTTATTCTATACTCCGTTAAATTGTCATGTCAAACTAACAATTTTGTTTCATGAGTTATGCACTTCACCTACGTATTGATTTTTAAATAACTCAGTTCAATTTACTTTCCTACTAAGTCTCAAATATTCCGAGTTGGTAAAACTAGTCTCTGTCTAAATTCTTTAATTTAACTTTCCACCATTAGTAGTATATATATACACATATCTGATGAATATGTTATTTCAAGCTGTCACCAATTGTTATGCCGCCTAATTAAACGCAAGCCCAAGATATAAAGTTGGTTTAGCACTTATGAAGTGATTTCTACAAAACAAAAATTTCGATTATCTACTGAATTATAGTTTTGAAGAGTTAAAGTGTTTTATTGAAAATGAGATTGTGGTTGTTATCCTTAGGTAGTAGTTTTCCACTAATAATATGAAAGCGATTTCATTACTTCCTGCTGTTACATATGATGTAAATGGTTTTAGTTCTACTCAAGGCATAGCTGTCCAGTGGTTTGAAGTGTCCCTCCAGTTTCCATTCGGTACTTATAAAATTGACCTTGTATCAATTTGTACGTAGCATCAAATAATTCCTTTATCTCAGACTCAAGAAAAAGCAAAAAAAAAAGTAGAAAAATGGGTAGTACTATAGAGTATAAGCAATTTATACTGATCTTGTGATTTAATTCTTACTCCGACATAAATAAATGCCTAAGAGTACAAACACCTTGAAAGTCCAGTGAAAGTTCTACTCAATGCCATGATGTTCTCTAGTGATAAATGTTATTGCCTTCAACAAATTCAGACTAATTTAATTATTCATGTCTTCAATCATCATATTAACTAAATTATAAAATCGTCTGACAAAATGGTTCATTAATTTTAAAATTTAGAGTATATAAACACTCATAACCGAGTTTCATTAAAAGATTTTGTTTAAACAATATCTTCAACCATAGACTGCTGCGCCATTGCTTTGGTAACCACCCCTGAGAGAAACAACTGTGCTTTGCTTCCCTTTCCTGCATTTTAATTTTCACTCTAATTATGTTTCGTACTTTTTTATATTTTTAACTATTAGGCTTGGAATCGAACGAGAATAGAATTGGTGTACCGACTAAATTTTATGTTGAAACAGCTAATGCTGGAAAAGGCCAATTAGAAATAATTATATTCAATCCCAGAGGTGTCAGAGAAACAGTGAGTATTTTGACCTGTATGTGCTATACACTATGCTCTTTAATTTGTTATTATTTCTAGCAATCCTGTGGTATGGCAACATGAACTGATGTACTTATGTACAAAGTTCTACGTTGCATCTGACTGACTGACTAGCAATCCTAATGATAAGTAGTCAGTAGCAGCGGAAAGTTTTCTTCACGTAAAATTTATAGGCAGTTCGCAATGAAAATAATTATAACATTACTTATGTAGTCCTTGCACCCACTGCAATTAAGTCGTGAAATGTAATATTTCATAAAATGAGTTAGTCCAATATTTCGTTCTTCTTTTCAGAATATTCAAGCAATGATCAGATTAGTAATATAATATAAAGGAATACCTAGTCTAACAACGTAAGGTTTGGTACAATTTCAACAGGCTTTATGAAATGTGTAGGTGGCAGTGAGTTATCATAAAAGCCTTTAAAATTGTAGTTTAATAAAGTCTTCTTAATAGTTAAAGCAAGAGTAAGGTGTAAAAAATCTCAACACAGTTACAGATAGCAAGCTACACAGCAATAAATATTTAAAGATTAATTCAAACGAAATTCAAACTGTATATGTTAAGAAATAAGGATATTTATTCTAGACAAGCTAATTGTATTTTTTTTTGATTTATTTTAGTGTGATGTGGTTTTTGACAATGAAATCAATCAAACATACTCTTGTATGTATGAACCGCGTCTAGAAGGTGAATATCGCATTGTCATAAAGTATGGTGGACATAAAATACCTAATTCACCCTTCCTTGTTAATATCAAAGGGATGTCTGTAGATTTGAGCAAAGTAACTGTAAGCGGTCCAGGGCTACAAAATTCCGAACTCAATTGTGTTGGTCGACGTACTCATTTTAATGTATATACTCATGGTAAGTGTTTATTCTTTGTACGGATGATTACATGTATACTATACTATAAACCCATACTATTCACTGAGTGATTTTTACTTTAAAAAAACATCAATGATATGAATTTTTCATTTTTGAATAAATTAAATATGTTTTAACAAATGCCAGCATACAATTATTTATTTTACATAGAAAAAAAAGTTTAACTGCACATAAATTCGCTTTGTAAAATGGAAATTTGTTCGAAATACCTAATAACTGAAATCTTTTCCATCCTTTTTAAATGGTTCAATAATTAGATCATACAATGGTCAGTGTACTTGTCCCTTGAGCTCTGCAATCACGATCCAAAGTCACTAAAACCAACTCCAACCCAATATCATGTTCAGGTTCTTTAAGAAACACCCTTCCGCAATGCGTGCAACCGGGAAGCGACATCCACCATCATACCCCTAACAGCCTATAAGATCAACTTGTTCACAATCAAACCTCTTAATAACTGTCTCATCTCCACGGCTAACCCTACTGTACTATTATTGTCTGGCGCCACTGATGCAAGTGATTTGAGTACACGGAACGTTCCTGGTCTCCTGAAACACCGCCTTAAACTACATGTTGGAGCTTGCACTTATTCAGTGTTTTGAACTGTATCTTAAGGTCAGACAGTTAATAACGACGTTTGAAAAGTCGGTTGAAAACAAACAAAATTAAATCGACACTAGTCCTATGTATCTATACCTATGCCACACTTTTTCTTATTGTTTGATCAATCCTAACGATATAAATTGAAACTATGAGGTGATATTTAACTGTCATTGTTTAAATCATTTAAACAAGATTCTTGAATTGTAATTACACCATAACTACGATATATGTTTAGACTTAGATGGAATTAAAGATAGTCCACTCTGTCTCAATTAATGATCAGCAATTGGAAGTTAGCAGTTCAGGAATTGACATCTTATTGACATCCATTCTCTCTATTCCATATTGTCAGTAAGAGATACCTCACTAACTCACATCACTAAATTCTTACCGGTGACTTTGTATTGACGTTGTTTTTATATCTAATTATTGCGGCCAATCCCAATAACTCACCATGTCACCCTTTATTACACGTCAAACCAATTGATGACTTGTTGTTTACAACGCTTCCCACTTGATAATAATAATAATTCATTGTCACTTCAGTTTGTTTATAACCCCTCTCCATATTTCAAACTTTTAAGTGTGTACTGTTACAGTTTACTAAGAGAGAAGCTTCAGCATTGCAAAATACGAGTGACCATTCCATTTCTTCAAGTATTTACATGTTTCAGTTTCTTTGCTATTTTATCGTTTATTGAAAGCACTGTCGTAGTTAATGCCGAAATTATCGAACGGTATTGATAAATATTATTCCCAAGTCATGGTATGCACAATTTGAATTCAACAAAATTATTAAGCGTTTTCAATTCTCCTATATGCTAGTTCAAATAATTGTATTACTTATCATGGACCAACTATATGTTTCTATTTGCTTACTTGTGTATATTTACTTTTCTAGATGCTGGGAATGGAACAGTCGACTGTTATATAGTTGATCCACACGGCAGGACTGATACCGTTAAACCACGTGTTACTTGCCCTGGTGGTGATGAATGTTTCCTTGTTGAATATACACCAAAAGAACCTGGTATCCATCAAGTATTTGTACAGTTTGCGGAGAAACAGATTACCGACTCCCCATTTCAAGTTGAGATAGCACCTAGTAAGTTTTAGTATTCTTTATTATACTTGAGAATGAATATTCTATGCAACCAAATTAGTTATTATTTAGAAGCTTAAATCCTATCAATTAAATAGTTGTTTTCATTCAGGAGAGTTTGACAATGGTAAGTTTTAATAGCATGCCATCTTCCACATTGAATTTGTTCATAAGTAATTCTATTGGTTTTTGCTCATCCTTTCCCTTTCTACCAAGTTGATACTTCTATCTAACTATTTATTCATACTGTAAAGTTGTTTTTAAGCGTGATAGTGCCGAATTACATTTCCATTTTTCAATTGAAGCTACAATTTTTAGTTTAGAATTACGATTGACTAACACTCATTGCATTTGAGCGCAATTGGTCAATAATTCAGTGGTTTTTGTAGTTGATAACATTTTTAATGTATTTCTCATAAAATCTGATTGCGAATGACCGCAATGTACCTCCAATTAAAATCTCAAAAACAAAACTATTCCTCATGGACTCTATAATTAATTTACTCGTTTCTATTTTCAAAAATTTAAATTACTTGCTGTAGTCACAGATCATTCAGCGATTAAACAAAATTCAACATTCAATGGGAGTGTCGAACAATCTATTGTAAATGAAGCGCCGGAAGTAAAGAATGCTTCAGGACAAAATGGCTTTCATGAAAACCCTAGTGTTGTCACCTTCGTGGAAACATATGATAATGTGAAAGTAGAAGATGGAACTATACCATCGGATTCTTTAATGATCGATTCGTTTCAACATAAAACTGAACGGAACCATATTGTGGATAATCCGTTAAAAGAAGAATCCTATTCAGATGAATCAATTACAGGTGACATTAAAATGTTTGCCTGCCTACGTACCTACCTACCTGCATGTGTACACTATCTCATATATATATATATGGGCATGCATCATGTTGAAAATTAAATTCTATATGCATGATTTTCGAATGAAGGTGTCTCCTAAGCGTTGGTCGTTTACCTTGGAACTACAGAGTAGGCAATGTAGTTGTTAGGCAACGGGTACTAAGTAAGAATAACAGATCAATAGATGAAGCAGTGAAACCTCATCAGTTGAGGCTATTGGGACATGCGTTACGAATGCCCAACCACCGACTGCCTCGTCGATCTATGCTTTGCGTTGTAGAACTAGGTTGAAAGAAAGCTAGTAGCAACCAAAACATGGCACAAATCCATGAAGTCACTGACAGCTGAACTGAGCCATGTTAGTGGATGTAAACTACCTGGTTCGTGTCCGCAAGATGATAGTAACCGATGATTAGAGACCTTGAATGACATTGGCTCAAAATCGTTTGCAATGGCGTAGGTGCATCCACTCTTTGTGTTCTCTCAAATTCTAATCTTCAGAATTCCTCATCATCTCTATCTTTCGCTTACTGAAGTTATTTCACTGAATTTTACTTCTTGAATAATATCTTCAAACCCTATTATTCTCTACTGCTAGTAATTCTTCTACTATCTCAACCACTATGAGATTTGAACTGACAGTGGCGTCTCTGTGCTAATGCGCTATGGCATGTACGAAGTTCTACGTTGTTACTGACTGACCTGGTTGGTGTCCACGAGGTGTGGTAGTAACCGATGCTTAGAGACCTTGAATGACATGGCTAAAATTTGTTTACGACGGCGCATAAAACATAAAACTGAGGAGAATCGTTTCATGGATAATCCCTTAAAAGAAGAATCCTATTCCAATGAGACAGTTGCTGGTAACATTAAAATGTTTGCCTGCCTACCTACCTACCTGCATGTACACTATATTATATATACATATATATAGGCATGCATCATGTTGGTAATTAATTTCTGTATACATGATACCTACCTGTCCTATCCATATACTTTGTTGTTGTTCTATTATCAGTCAATAAATTTGTTCAATATTGACTTCTCTTATTCATTTTTCAGAAATTCATCCTGAATTAGCTTATGCTACTGGAAGAGGTGTACAAGCTCGTGGTATACGTGTTCAAGATCGAGTGAAATTTTCTGTTCATACAGAACGAGCTGGTGATCAAGCTCCACTTTCAGTTACATTCACTCGTGCAGGTATATATACTTGTATAAAAAAATACTAACTTTAAATTTTATTACTCAATTTATGGTTATTTTCATTTGTGATTACAAATGTCTAAAGTTGAGTTGACTGTCGATCGCTTTAGACATGACCAATATACAATTACTTGCTAACTTGGATTCAGTTTACATTGTATCATTTATCGCTAACGATTGATTCATGTTTCAAGCCGAACATATTACCACTCAGCTATTCAAATGAAAGTAGGTTTAGTAGGAGGACTAATACAATCAATCTATCACTGTTGTAGTTCTTCACTTCATATTAACCATTGAATTCATGTGTTTCACTTCATTTTAAATATAAAACAGCACTCAAAAGGTAAAGGTGAAATGATTGCATAAACCAATGATTATTTGTTTGTTTACTCTGTTCATTAAAAATAATTCACTTCTCTAAACTGACAATTTGTTTATGAATGTTATTAGTAGTATAATAGGTGGTAGACTGTAGATGAGTGATTGAACTTTTTAAAGACAAGACATTTTTTACAGTAACAATATTCCACTGCGTATACATTTTCAATGTTACATAATATTGTCCTCATGACCTAATATGAATAAAATGAATAGTAAACCAATATTTAGTTTCGGAAAAAATATGTGACTTTTGTTTAGTTTTCATTTGGGTGAACGTATTATTAAACAAATACAAAACCAAAAAAATATGGTTGAGTAGACAGATATCATTGTGTATGTGTTTTTGAAGCGCTGCTCTACTTATACATGGTACTGTTTATGATTATTGTTATTATTAACGGTGTAGTTTTTATGGAAATTATAGAATTTTCGTAGATTTCATTATCATGAACTGATCTTAGAGGTAGATCATCATTGGAAAACTGGCAAAACTGAGTGGTCGTTTCATTTTCTCAACGAAGCTCACCCACTACACCACATTCGCCAGTCGAACCCCAGCACCTTTGGTTACGCATATACAAATGCTGAACATCTAGACCACTGAGTGGGCATTCAACAGGGTGTCAATGTCTAACTTCAATCAATACACTATCTCCCATTGCCTGCGATAGATCACTGTGTCCATACTGTTCATTGTTAATACTCACTAGAGTGACTAGCTTCATATGGTCGTTGTTTATTTTTCATTGTTATTTCTGAATGTTAATATATGTATGTAGGGCTATAGTTTTTTGCAGAATGGGAAAAACCGGCTCTGCTTGACATTCCTGACATCGTATAACGAAGTTATGTCAATAATGATTTTACACATTTTTGAAACCATGAATCGATCAATGTTAGACCACCATTAGAAACCTGGAAGCACTGGACGGTCGTTTCGTCCTGGTATGGGACTCCTCAGCATTGCACATTCACGACTCCTGTACCTCGCAGGATTCGAACCCGGGACCTTCGGTATTGTGCGCGAACGCCTAACCATCGGACCACTGGGCCGGTATCTAACGGTGTGAATGTCTAACTTGATCAATTCACGGAGTTCCTCACGAAGCTAGTCACTAGTGAGCACAGGTAATTTTCATTACAGGGTTGTGAAGATTGTTAAGTTACACATATTTGAAACCATGAATCGATCAATGTTAGACCACCATTAGAAACCTGGATTTTACCAATCGTATCACATATTAAACCTAGAAACCAGAAGGCATCGAACAACGGTTTCATCATAGCAATGCACAACTGTGACTCTACCTGAGATTGAACCTATGGACACTAGATCACTAACCCTCACTTGCTTTTTTTCTATTGGATTTATAGTGTAATGCTCCTTGATATATTATTGATAAACTCTTGCATAGTGTTTGATGAATTTACTTTTGAAGTTCATATACTTTGATTTGAAATTAAAATGATTTAAATTTCCTTTGATTCAGTTGATTATTCTTCTTACTGGTTATGTGTTTCCTTTGAACACAATTAATTAATAAATACTTTAAATATACTAAGAATTAAATGTAAAATGTTCTTAAATTTAATCTGAACTTTACATTAATTATTTCATTGTTTTCTTATCACGCAAAGATGGTCAAAGTGAACCTGTGGAAATTCGTCAAATTGATAAATTTTTATGGGATTGCTTCTATTGTCCACAACGACCTGGAAAGTGTACACTTAATGTCCGATATGGTAATGGACATATTCAGAATAGTCCTTTTACTGTAAGCAATATTTATATATTTGATATTTCTTTTTATTGACTTCTCCTCATCAAGAAAATTTCTTAACTACTAGATAGTAGTAGTTACTGGTACAAATGGGCCACCAAAATAAATATACGCCTCAAGTATAATCAAATGAGTGAATAAGAGTAGTAAATAATTAACGAAGTAATTTAGTTAGGAAAAAAAATACAACCAGAAAATTTTTATAGTTTCAGCATTTATAATCTGAACTTCTGTTTTTTTTTTTCAATCCGTTCCGACGTTGGCAATTAGTCTTTTATGTGAAATTCGCCGGGACAATGTTTGTAACACCATTTCCAAGCCACTAAAGCCAGTGCTTGATGAGGGTGGTAACACCAAGTTCCAAAAAATAAACAATTTATTTAAAAGTAGTTGTGAAATTGTCTATAAGACTCTAAACTCATGAAATAGTCAATAGTACCTTAACAAAAGTTTTAAGTTCACCATGTTGAAGCCTTATAAATCCCAACATCAAATTAACACCTTAAGCCACCGGTCAATGATGAAATTTTTTGGCTATTTGTTGAAACAGTGTGTCGCCATCACGATAACCCATGTGTTGCAAGTTGACAGTTCAAGCAGCAATCTGAAAACCAAAAATTCATCACTAATAAAGTGTTGTCAAGATTGTTGACTTTGAATTTGTTCATCACAGATTCAATTTAACTAGACAACCAGTGAAAACCAGATGGAACGGGACATTTTGTTTCTTCATGTTATGAGACTTCTGCAGTACTTATGCATACACGACCGCACTAGGGATGTCTAGTCAAGGACCTTCAGTGCTTTTGAAGTTTGCAATAGTATGCCACTATCATCCATCGCCATTAGTGACACTTCTCTCATGTCAAACATGATCCATGGTCTTAAATATTTCGTTGATCAAATCAACCATGTATACAATCACATTCCATTGTCTATACTAATTATCTTAACTGAATTAAGGTGGATTATTTATTCAGACACTTATCAAAACTGATGGTTCCATCACCGAATGCCCTAATTATTTACGCAAATAAAATATTGAAATTTAAAAACCATGTATTTTATCATGATATTAATGATACACTTTATTCTGATGAAAATCGTAAGCCTGTAAATGCTGTCCTCCAGTGAGACCTATATATATATATTTCAATTAGAGATATGGAGATTAGTGTTTTTACACATTTTGAAATCATCAATTAATCATTGTTAGACCACCATTAGAAACCTGGAAGCACTGGACGGCCGGCTCGTCCTGGTATGGGACTCATCAGCAGTGCGCATCCACGACTCCTGCACCTCACAGGATTCGAACCCGGTGCCTTCAGTATGGCGCGCGAATGCCTATCTACATATATAAACGTAATACATTTTAAACAATCCGACCATACATATATACGCGTTAAGAACATTAATATATATGTGGAAACATTTAAAAAGGTCAACTAGACAAATGGAGAGTTAAGTAAGTACGAAAAAATGTGACCAAAAAAAACAATGTGAAATACACCACTCTGGATAATATGTATATATAAACGCGTGTTGGTTAAACTTTTGTATTCATCATCAAAATGCTTGAATAACAACACTTGAACAACACTTTAATACAACTATAAAGCTGAGAGTTATGTTCAATCTTGCGATATGTTCGACAATAGTGTGGAGGACATGTTGTGTATTTGTCTAGTTGACCTTTTTTTTATTTTCAATTTTCTCATCTATCAATGTTCTTGAAAAAAAAATTTGTCTAATCAATTTGTTCAAAAATGTATTGCATTCATAGTTTTTTTCTTGTCAGTATGGTACATGTTACCTTTCAATGGTGTTCTATGTGTTGTTACAGATTGACATGATTTGTTCATTTTTTTTCTAGGCTACACATGTAACAACACAACAATTGTATGATTCTAGTATGTTTGTGTATATTACAAATATACTCAACTGATTACCAGTTGTGTTGTGTTGTGTTGTGTGCTAAAAAAAATCTGTCTACGATGAATTTTAGTCTAACTAAATATATTATTTTATGTAAAATGTTTTGCACATACAAAAAAAAACATACTCTATTTTTAAAAGTTATGCTCTTTTTAGCCTTTGATTAGAATTCATTTGTGATTTGTAGTTCGTTGCCTATTGATGTTGTTGTTGTTGTTTCAAGTAGTGATCAAGTGATCATATGTGACTTATTAGATTAGAAAGAGGAATGCTTGTGAAAAGAAAAAGAAACCAATTGAGACATTCGGTGTGTGTGCGCGAGAGAGTAATTGTTTTTGTTGCGCGTTGATTTTTTTTAAATTGGACAGTAGTGTTGGGGATGTTAGATTCCCCAGAACTCGTTTGATAAATGCCTTAATTTTGGATTTCACATTCGCGAGCCTGAGCTGATCAGTTGACCTTGAGATTTCAATTCCCACCAGGAAATTCCTTGGCTGTGATTGGCTGCTGTGTATTTTAGTGTGCTATTTTTGCAACTGTCCCAAGGACGCTCCTATGATGTATAGATAAACGAGAGTTGTGTGCTTGATTGCATTGTGTGATTGCTGGGTGTTTGTAGAATATACTTTCTACGCTTACCAAGTCTTCTGTTTACAGCTTGGGATTCAAGGTAGCTTATCTGGACGTTGGTTCATTGTCTCGTTCGCGTTTATCGACTAAGGTGAACTCGTAATAGCTGTATGCCATGCAACTGTTGGGACTGATTTCATATGTCGTAGTGTGTTACATCATGAAATAAAAATTTTTGTTGACTATTATTATTATAGCCATTTCTTTTAAAACTAATACCGTTTTGACTTTGTAAATATATGAGATTGTGGATAAATGTGAAACATGGCACATTCTTTGCAATTGTCCTCATGCCAACCAACGTTACAAATTGATCTTTGTCACGTTAAGCTATAAAGCCAATAATTAAATTTAGATTATAAGTTTGTCGAATTTGTAAAACACATTTTTACTTTTCGTATCCAAAATCTATAAATCAGTGCTTTATGCGATTGATTTCAATTCTTGTCCTAGACACACAAGGAATCTTTATATTATTAGCATAATTAATTAAGCTATTTTTCAGTTATAGATATTTTTTTCACACTTTAACTACTATCTCTCTCAGAAACATATTCAAAACTCTCATGTCTCATATGGTCGAAAAATGAAAATTTCGGAAACGCGAAAAAATCATTGTCCGACATGAGACAAACGGTAGTAGAAGTGTTTGGGCCTATTTACATTAAGCTGGGCTGCCTCTTCTACTACGCTACGCCATATATGTGTACACCATATGCTATACTCTGCTATATATAGAGCTGAAGGTCTCTCCTATGAGACTAGAGGTTCGCTGTAAACATTATGGATGGCTTGGCTTTGCTTTGGTAAGCATTGCTAACAGTCCATATACAAAATTGGTTAGCAGGGCGACCGATTTCATTGATACTAATGGTGGTTGTTTTGCAGCATTCCCGAGGGCCATTGTCATTGGGGTGCTGTATTACATATCACCATTGCTATTAATAATGAGTTTGACAGTCACGTAAACGGGATGGGTCGAAATAGCCTGTTCATGTGGTGCATATTGATTGACACGGTCATGGATCGGAAATATATATACCAGTGTGTGTGTATATATAAATGGTGTGAACGGTCGACCAGAGGGTATCAGATACCTGTGTGAGGTTGCACCACAGGATTGAGCCGAACTGTTCATGTAGTAGTGGTAAAGCGTGAGCAGTCTCTTTGGTTCTCCCCAAAACCAATATAAAATTGCTCTTGACAATACAGGGTAAATTCATATAATACAGTAATAAATTGAACTGAAATCTACCAGTTAGTCATTCTCTCGATTTCCTGAATTAAACAATTAAACACTTTAAAGTAAATTTTATAATTTGTAATTACAACTTGTGTATTTTCTCTTCCTGAATAGTTAATTTACTCTGGAATTTGCTTGTTTCCTGTTTTGTTGTAGATTGTTGTTGGCCCGCATAAGAAATCAGCTATTCGTGCATTTGGCCCAGGCTTAGAAAGTGGTGTTGTCAATTATCCTAATTCATTTACAATTGTATGCAATGGAGATGGTGCTGGATTAGGTTAGTTGTGTTGTTGTTTTTTGCTTCAACTATTTACTGAAAGTACTAGAAGTGCTGTTTACGCCTAATATATGACTTTTCATCAGTGTCCATTCATGACACTGCGTTCGGCAATCGAACTGAGTATCTTTAATCGCGCCCGCGATAGCCTAACATCTTGACCATTAAATCTAGCCCCGGCGGCATCCAAGTCTTATTTCAATCGGCCAACTGTATTGCGTGATCATCTTCTGTAGTTTTCGATGAGTACCTTGCCCACATAGAGGTGGTTAAGGCAGGTGTTACGAATGCCCAACCACCGACTGCCTCGAGGAGCATTTTTTTGTGGTGTACGAGTAGGTTGGAAGAAAGTTAGGGGCGGCCAAACCAAAACATGGCAGAAATCCATGAAGTCACTGACAAGTGGACTGAGTCATGTCTGTAGATGTAGGCTACCTAGTTGGAGTCCGCGAGACGAAAGTCACCAATGGTTAGAGACCTTGAACGACATGGCTCAAAATCGTTTACAATGGCGCAAGTGCATCCATTCGTTGTGCTCTCTCAAATCCTAATCTTCTGGATTCATCAGCACCTCTACCTTTGTCTTCCTAACCTTATCTCACTGAATTATACTTCTTGAATAATATCTTCAAACCCTAGTCTTCTTCATTACCATCACTACGGGATTTGATTTGACATTTGCGTCTCTGTACTAATGTGGTATGGCAACCTGAACTTATGTACATACGTACGAAATTCTATGTTGTAACTGACTGACTGACCTTGCCCACATCGAACACAAATCCCATTAGCCACTTCTGTTGATTTTCTTTTGTCTCTTCTCTAAATTGTGTAAAGTGTATCCAGTGTCATGTGGACTAATCGTTATTAGTGAACATAGTGTACTATATATATTATTTGGCAAGATGTTCTAGAAGATTTTAGCAATCACATAGAAATCAAATCAATCGTTGTCATAAATGTTTCAATTCAACTACTTTTGAACTGTTGTATTAGTTAGTGGGTTGTCGGTTCGAACCTCTTTTCCTTTTTATTTCTCTTTGTATAATCTCATTTACTCTTGAGAGAAACCGAGTTAATCAACCTACACTTGATTGAAGGAGTTATATAAAACCATATTCTTAACACGAATAGTACTGTTAGTCTGATGGCTTATTATATTTAATTTTTATGTGGCTAATATCTGAAATCACACTGTTTTATGTATCAAAATATAACATTATCAAACTACCTTTGAACTAATTGTTTAATTAACAAGGAGTTGATTTATTCACACTTTCAAAGGATCTGTAGTTCTACATAATTGGAAATTTTGATCAATAAAAGTAAAGCCTACAACAACCGCTTGAAGTAGTTTTTACAACAAGATGAATTTTTATCGTGATCACAAATCTTTTATGTCTCTCTGACAACTAAAACTGTAAAAACAATTCGTCTCTATTTGAATATTGCTCACTCTAATACTGAACTTTATGTCAAGCTTCTTATTGTGATCTATCTGTACCCCTTTCCCTGCTCTCCAACCAACCACTGTGATTATTTGCCATCTATGGTGTCCAGCTTCTCAAATCAAAGATAGTACATCTGGCTTCGAACCTTAGACATTGTGGTAGCAGTTCAAGTACTTAAATCATTAAGTTACTTCTCTTATAAATTCAACATTCACCACATAGATAAGGCGGACAACCTCTTTCATGTTGATCACTTGACTATCGTTTATAATGAATAGTTGACAGTTCGTGTATGATACTCTTCATTTCGCTTATGGTTTAACTGTGTTTAGAAGTCAGTGAAACCAATATTTCTTAAAGCGTATTGTAAGAGTTGGGGATACCAGAAATTAAAGTTTTCTGTGTAATACCTACAGTGAAGTAATTTTGTTGCTCTTCTAACACAGTAATTACCATTTCAATATATAAATCATATTTTCAGTTTTATAATCGAACTGAATATTTTGTCTTCAGGTTTCTTGATTGAAGGACCTAGTGAGGCTAAAGTACATTGTCAAGACAATGGAGATGATTCTGCATCAGTAACCTATACAGTTTCACAACCTGGTGAATATGCAGTTCATATTACATGTTTCGATGAAGATATCCCTGGATCACCATATATGCCTATAATAACTCCTCGTCTTGAAGATTTTTATCCTGATAAGGTATGTGAAATCCAGCGATTTGTTTTTCAATTCAAAGAGTGTTCTTTATCATTACATAGCACTCAATCCTTTGGATGTATTTGTGAAATGTCCTTTCGGCCAACCAAAGGAGACCCCACCTTATTGTGCAGCAATTTGTCCGTTTCAATTTGAACAGGATATCTGAAGGTTACTAGTGTTCGATCGTAAATATATTCGTAGCATTTCTCATGTTTGTTAGACCATCAAATGAGAACGAAATCTGAGGAAAGTCTAACTAAAGCCTAACATCCGTCCGCGTAATCAATGACAATTGAACTGAGTTATGTAGGCAGGTACATGCTGCTACCTAGCTGAGAAGGACCTCATGATTACTGTGACCAGTAGTTGGACGACATAGTTAAGCAATCGGTCACAACGTACCTTGAATCTTGAATTTAAAAATAAACCCATAGTTGTTTATCGGTTTCCACGTTCTACACCGAATCAGTTTCAATCACAACTCTGATACTGTCTCTACTTTTATGACTCTAGTTTTTGTCCAGATAATTTCATCTTCATGTCTGTCCTATTGTTTTGTGTCAACTTGAAACTGATGCACGTTTTCCATATAAAACTTGAATCAGAAACATCTGTATTTATGCAGTGATATTAATCCTGTCTTCATGCAGAATTATTAGTTCAGCATTAGTTAGTTTTGTGCTTTGTGCAGGAGTCGTGGATGCGCACTGCTGATGAGTCGCATACTAGGACGAAATGGCCGTCCAGTGCTTCCAGGTTTGTAATGGTGGTCCAACATTGATCGATTCATGGTTTCGAAAATGTGTATCTTAACAATCTTCACAACCCCGTAATGCAAATTACCTGTGCTCACTAGTGACTAGCTTCTTGAGGAATCTTCTCCGAGTTCTAGTGAAAAGTCGTGACCAGTGAAGTTCAACCTGTTCGGGTGTAGACAGTAACCACTACCGAAGACTGTGTATGAGGTTGCGCAACTCCGTGAATTGATCAAGTTAGACATTAACACCGTTAGATACCGGCTCAGTGGTCCGATGGTTAGGATTTCATATTTATTTAGTAAAGCCTACTGCTTTCTAGTTGGCATTATTATTATTATTGTCGATTTACTAGAAGACCTACAGTTTTGAAATTAGTGAACTTATTCTTCTTGATTTGTAATAAGCATTATGATTTAATCTTTTTTTTGTTTGTTTGAATCTATTTTTTAGTTACGTGTTTACGGTCCTGGTGTTGAGAAAATGAATCTCAATGTTGGTGATCCAACGGAATTTTATATTGAAGGCTTACAAGACGCTGTTCCTTCTCATCTATCACGTAATTTGGATGATTGTCTTCTGCATGTAGATTGTCACGATACAATGGGGAATCCAGTACCTGTTCAGTCTAGTTTATTATCTAACGGGACTGTAGTCTATACATACAAACCTATGTCTCCCGGTATTCATACAATATACGCTACACTAGCTGGAATCTCTCTCAAAGGTTCACCATTCAGGGTATGTAGATCATTTTTTCTTTTTCTAAAGTACAAAATACATCTTGGGTGTATCATTCTTGGACAACTAATCGGATGTATTTTCTTTTTTATATATACATTTAGGTAAATATTGCTCCAGAAATCCAACCAGATAAAATGAAATTATGGGGTCCAGGTTTAAAAAGTGCTACGCGAAAAAAATCCGCTCACTTTTTCATTGATGCTCAAGAAGTTTTCTCTGGTGAAAATGAAGCTGAACTTAAAGTTAACAATCCAATTTCTGTGAATATTCTCAACGATCAAGGCCAATCGATTCCGACACGTTTAACTAAAGAATCTGATGGTATTGTTCGTGTTGAATATACACCATCGTCATTATGTACAAATGTGCATATTACACCTTTAATTGGTGGGACACCTGCAAAATCTTCTATTGATGTACCAGTTGCATGTGGTTTCGATATGTCACAAATTAGAGTTCAAAATTTAGATACAGGTTAGTTCATCTGCGTATATTTATTATTATTATTGTATCTGTTTAATTTCTATTTTCATTTTATGATTATTATCGATTATAAATAACTTTTGTGAATTGATAAATTATTCTTTGATTTTATGCATTACATAACGACTATGATCAAGTGAATACACACATACTCCTATTGATTAATTTTGTGACAGCGATTTTAAATATCAGTGTAATGAAGGAGAACACAGGTGGGGCAACCGAATTGTATTTAACGAAAATTACAGTTACTCAGTAAAATAGGAAAACCATATCGTAAACGGTTAATTTGCAAATCTTCAATCCGTCATCAATCATCCATTGTCTGACAGTTCATTATTCATGCATTTCATACAAATTCCATTGTGTTCCCACTCTTTTCTTGATCTTCCCCCATCTTCCACTGCCAGGCATTACGTTGACACTCACGTCATATACTACTTATAAGTAGCTCGCACCACATCAGTTCATATCTTCAATATTGTTTGATAGCACTACAATCAAGTTCAACGTTCAATGGGTTTAGATTATCCCATTGTGTTGCATTAACTCTAAAATTACAGGTACATGCATCGGATGAGCCTTAGTTAGGATGAAACGCACATCCTGGATTCCATTGCTACAAACCTACACTATAGCCAGACTATCATTATCCATGCACGATACCGATATTACAGCCTGAAATCGATTGAATTTCAGTCAAACGATTATATTACATATTCTGTCATCATTGCTATAATAAAACTAGAGAAGTGTATGATGCTTGGATTTGCCAATATATATTATTTTCTAGATTTGGATGGCTATACCGGATCTGTTATGTTGAGAACTTTATCTTGAAATATTAATTAATTATTGAATTGTTTAAGTTTATTATATACACTCTTATCATTTCAATTCACCTCGATACATATTCATGTACACTTGAATGTCGGCTAGTCATACTACTCTACAATAAGTCGATCAATAGCAACGCAGAACCTCGTTCGTACGTACGTACATCAGTTCATGTTGCCCTACCATATTAGCACAGAGATGTAATTGTCAATTCAAATGCCATAGCAGTAGACGTAGTAAACATATTAGCAGTAATCGGAGAGGTTAGGATTACAAGATATTATTCAAGAAGTATGATTAAATGAGAAAAGTTTAGAAAGTCAAAAGTAGAGGTGTTGACGAATCCAGAAGATTAGGATTTGAGAGAACACAAAGAGTGGATGCACCTGTGCCATTGCAAACGATTTTGAGCCATGTCATTCAAGGTCTCTAACCATCGATTATTATCATCTCGCGGACCCCAACAAGGTAGTCGACCATCACCGAGATTGCTCAGTCCACTTGTCAGTGGTTTCATGGATTGCTGTCATGTCTTGAACTGGCCGCCCCAAGCTTTCCTCAAACTAATTCCTACACCGCAAACTATAGCTCGATGAGGCAGTCGGTGGTTAGGCATACCTAACACATGTCCCAACCACCTCAACTGATGAAGTTTCAATATTTCATCTATTGATTTGCCATCCTAACCTAGCACCCATTTCCTAACAACAGCATTGCTTACTCAGTTGTCCCATGCTGACTACTCTACAATATTCTCCTAAACTAAAGTTAAATGAAAGAGAGAAGTTTGAAATTACAAAATATTTACTGAATATTGAACGCTTTTCACCACCATTGTAAGCACTGTTCTATCTTGATTTTTTTCAATTCTTAGCTTTCTTAATATAAAATTTTTGTTAATTCCAATTTGCAACTTAAGTGAATAACATTTATTGATAGTGGTCTTTTGACATTAATAGTAGAGATTATAACATGAAACATTAAATTTTATTCTTTGACGTCATTGTTGAATAAATTTTCTTAACATTAATTGTTGATTTTCAATCTGTAAATTGATTTAAATTGAAAGTTCTTTTTATCATAATTCTAATAAGTTGGCACAGTAGATTTTGATAAAAATAACTCATGGAACATAGTTCAACTTATTGGATAATTTACTCGTCTATTGTCCAATAGAGATGATTATTGATTAACACTCGGTGATCATTAAATATTTTCAGTTAGAACTTTGGAGATTTGTGTTTTTTACACATTTGAAATCTGTAAATCAATCAGAGTTAGACATTAACACCGTTGTTTGCCGGCCCAGTGGTCCGATGGTTAGGCGTTCGCGCATAATACCGAAGGTCTTGGGTTCGAACCCTGCGGGGTGCAGGAGTCGTGGATGTGCACTGTCACTGATGAGTCCCATACCAGGACGAAACGGCCGTCCAGTGCTTCCAAGTTTCTGATGGTGGTCTAACAATGATTGATTGATGATTTCTGATCATTAAATAATTTTCATTATTCTTAAGTATTACACTCTCACTCACTCACTCACGCACTACTCTGTACTTCTCAATCTCTTTGAACAGCACAAAAATAAACACAATTTTTGATGATGATTGGTTTGTTTGACCATTGTCTAATCAAGTTGAATTTTGTGAATATCTTGAATAAAGACAAAAGTATTAGTAATTTAGATGATCAGTTATTTACGGATTATTATAGTATATAGTCTGGCTTTTGTAATAAGGCAGTAACTAGATTATCAGTTTTGCGTGTATTCCTTAGGTAGCAATTAATTATTGATAGTCATAGCCAGTTTTTTTTGGCTGCTTATTATTTTCCATTTTATTGATTGTGATCCGGTCTCATACGTCTGTACATAAATGACATACGTATATTTGAAATATATTGTCCATATAATGGAGTTTTTTGGCTACAGACTTCTGGACCCAACAGACAGAATAGAGAGGAAGAAGCTGTAGAGTTGCGGACCGATGAGCAAGTTGCCGGTGCTTTCTTTTTGTCTCGTAATATTATCGGTCAGCGGTTAAGGACATAACAACCTTCAGTTGTACCATGGTGTAAAGTTTGAATTCTTATTCATCTTCGGTTCAATGAACTTAGAATTATCTTAATAAAGACACATGTTAATGCTTTTACGTATCAAGTGTGACATTGACAGTAATCGTCGTTTATGGATTGCTTGTTGTATGGTTAACAGTTTGTAGGCATGAAGTTTGTGTCAGAAGTGGCCATTATGTGTATCGATCCAGGCTACTAGGGTTATTGACTAAATCGTTGGACATAAAATATTATAACGGTAACATAGATGAAGCATCTCTTGAGTACTTTGATTATGTCGGAAGCTCTCAGAAAATCTGTCCATCTCTTTGACTCATTGTGATGTTAATCATCAAGAGATACTTCAGTTTGAACACTTCATGGCTCCTTATAAATCAGCTGCTAATTAGAGAGTCAGTCAGTCAGTTAGATGCAACGTAGAACTTCGTATGTAAGTACATCAGTTCATGTTGCCATAGCACATTAGCACAGAGATATTATTGTCAATTCAAATCCAATAGTAGTAGAAGTAGTAAAGGTATTAAAAGTAATCGGAGAAGTTAGGATTAGAAGATATTATTCAAGAAGTATGATTCAGTGAGATAAGTTTAGAAAGACAAAACTAGAGGTGTTGAAGAATCCAGAAGATTAGGATTTGAGAGAACACAAAGAATGTATGCACCGGCGCCATTGTAAATAATTTTGAGCCATGTCATTCAAGGTCTCTAACCATCGATTACTAACATCTCGCGGACCCTAACCAGGTAGTCGACAACTGCCGACATGACTCAGTCCACTTGTTAGTGAATTCACGGATTTCTGCCATGTTTTGGTTTGGTCGCCCCTAACTTTCTTCCAACCTACTCCTACACTACAAAACATAGCTTGTCGAGGCAGTCGATGGTTAGGCATACGTAACACATGTCCCAACCACCTCAACTGATGAAGTCTCAATGCTTCATCTGTTGATCTGCCATCCTAACGTAACACCCGTTTCCTAACAACAGCGTTGCTCACTCGGTTGTCCCACGATATACAAGCAATGCTTCGAAGACACCTATGATCGATAACCAGTAACCTACGAATATCTTCTACTTAATTAGAGTGTAGTCAAATCACTTCCATACTTTCTTTCTTATCATAGGAAAATACTCACCAGACGACTGAATAATAATAATAATAATAATATTCAACTTTCTAAGTATACCAATTTGTTTGTGATCTTCCCTTTGTCATACTAATGGTGCCCATCGAACACTAACATTTTGAATTTTCTCTGTTTTGAGAAAGGCGACGTGTAATTCATGTTTTTCTTGACTATCTAGTTGATAGTGTTTGTTTTTTTTGTGTTTAGTTCACACTGACGACTCTATGTATATCATCATTGAATACTTACTTAGTAGTTAACAGATGTTTTCTGTCCCCAAAAATTTTTTTGATTCATAACAGCACACTAGAATGGTTAGTCAATGAAAGATCCAATGACATATTTGTAGTTGTTACTGTCGCTATTTGTATATTCATTTTGAAGTTATGTGAAGAAATGAAACAATGTTTGTGTGTGTGTGTGTGTGTATGTATGTTGAACTTGCTTATTGATCATTCATTGTGCTCTGTTTAATTAAATAGATAGATAGTACTTTTTTCTAGTCAATATTGACAACTCTCGATAGTGATCAGTGTTACCACCGATGCATATTTATATTTACACTCATCATACTAAACATAGAGTTTTAGATGTGATTTATTTCAATGCTGCCTACTTCGTTATTATTATTCTTATTCTTATTATTATTATTTACGAAAAAATTCAATGTCTCTTTCTATTTGTAGCAATTAATTCACATTCAATTAATCAATTTAGAATTTGTACAAACAATGCTGTAGATCTATTAGATCGTTTGACTGTAAAAATGCAGTCTGTAGATAATACTGACGTGTGTATACCAGTTAGTTTAAACATTGAAACGAATGATAGTATTGTGTGTACATATTCAACAGATACTACTACTACTACTACTACTACTGACACCCCATCATCTACTTGTTACAATGTTCAAATTATGGTAGATGATGAGATCATTGCTCATCACATTGTAACAATCAATGCAGGGAATGAGGATGTGGCAAAATCAACTGTGGTTGATCCTCTTGTAAATACTACTAGTGATATTAATGTGTACAATTGTAAATTGAATGATGAAGAATTATGTCAAACGACAATTGCTAATAATAGTAATGATAATCATACTAATATCAATCATGTTTCTGAGTTGACAAACAATAATTCATTTGAAGAAATCACTGAAAATATTTTAGAAAAACTCGATAACGAACAACAACAACAACCATTCCATGTAAAGAAGAACTCTTCTGTTAATGGTGCTGTTAATGTTGAACACTTGAATTGTCCTCATGAAAATACTCATAGAATATTTATTACTAATGGTTATGCACGACAGTATGAACAGACCATGAAACCGGAATTGCTTGAACACTTGGAGTGTAGCAATGGTTTAGCAACTAATGCACTAAACAAAAGTGAATTACCAGTTGATGATACTGTTAATCAGGATGATAATCATGATGATGATGATGTTGATGTTGATCACTTGAATCATACTGAACACATTACAAACTCTGTCCAACCGCCAACAGTACAAAAACTTACTCCCAGACCATTTATAACTGAAAAGGAGAAAGTAATTCACTCAAAAACCTTTCATAGTTTCGTCTTGATGCTTGTGTGTTGTTCTGTCTTTCGACTTGCATGTCTGTGTAGTGTTTATCGTTTGTGTTACTGCCACTACTGATTAGATTACTACTTCGATTACTTTCATCTTTTTGTGTTATGTCATATGCCAACTGAAACCAGGTTCTGCATCGATTGATTGAATGTAAACTGATTGTCATGAAAAAAAAGCTTGAACGCATGTTTCTTTGCAATGGTCATTCATCTTTATACCCTTTTACTTTTTATTCTGCATCTTTTGTTAGAGTGAGTGAGATGACAATGGTATGATAAATCAGTCAGCATGGACAATCAATACCTTATCGGCTAGCTATTCATTATTTAACTAACATTCTATTTTTACTTGCATACTTTTTGTTTTAAACATAGACTGAAATAATAGCAAAAAGTAAATGGCCTCAATCGATGCCGGAACAACAGGCTTATCAAATTACAGCGCATGGTTCAGGACTTGACAAAGCGATTGTCAATGAATTAGCTGAATTTCTTATAAATAGTGAACGCGTTCCACCGGCTCCATTGAGTGTAACTATTGCTGGACCAAGTAAAGCTGAAATCCATTGTAAAGATAATGAGAATGGAACATGCACTGTCAGCTATACACCATTATTGCCAGGTTGTTATACTATAAATGTGGTGTATAATGATGAATCCCATATATGCGGTAGTCCATTTTTTGTTCAAGCCTATCCTGCTGATAAACCGAATTTAACAGTAGACAATGTTATCTGTCATGGAGTTGGAATCGATCCTTCTGATGGTGCGTTTCTATGTTGGTTGGCCTGAACTGTCTGTAAAAACACTGCATGTGCCTCCCTCCCTCCGTTGTTTACGTAATCTTCCATTGATTGACTGCCGGAATGCAACCTCGCATGTACTTAAATGTCTCCCAATGTAGAGTGTGATACTCTTTCTTTTGTTGAATATTTAGTCAATCATTTGTTCCCCGTACTTTTATATTGCATGATTGTATATGTAAATATTTAACCTGTGTATTTGTGTTGTTCTCTCTCTCTTTTAGAAGTGTATAAAGCTTCCTATGTTAAATTCACCGTGGATGCATCGGCTATTGATCCGCATAGTGAAGGAAATGTTGCGGCTGTTCTAACTGGTCCAGATAATAGAAAATCATCTTGTCATGTGTTGAAAAATAAAGATGGTAAATATGTTTGTAATTATACTCCATTGGAAGAAGGTGAGTGATTTCATAGTACAAATTTATTGGGTCCTGTTTTTCTTTTTTCTTAGAAAATAATTTGGCATACTATTTTATTAGTTAATAAATCTTTTAAATATCCAAATTTTGTTGAACGTCAACTCACTCAACTTCTTGTATTTCAAAGATTAAGGTGGATACTTATACTCTTAAGTAGTTAAAAAAAGAATTTCAAAAATTTATCCTTTACACAAGTGCTATTACTTATTTGACATTTTCAGCAATTATTATTTCAAGTTATACATTCGGTCTACTAGCAGCGTTTTAAAAATCTTTTCTAAATTTATAGTCTTTTGAATCGGTTCAATGCGTTATACATTTCATAAGATGCATTAAGTAAACTGGACAATGGAAACCATACGTTGGCGAAGCGATGCTAATTGGATGAATTACCGACTATGCTTTTGTGTCTTGATTAGTTTATCCATCTTTAAGTATACTCGTTTATTATTATTCGTCAGTACAACTTCCTGAAATCACTTATGCTACTTGATCATGAACTTATCTACGCTAGATCGCCATTAGGAACCTGGAAGTAGTGGATGGCCTTTTTGTTCTAGTTATGTGGCTTCTCAACATTGCGCATCTATGGCCCTCACACACACACACACACGTGGGAATCGGAAACAGGACCTTCAATCGTTCTTGAACGCCTAACTTCGTCTCACATTAGAACGAAATGGCCGTCCAGTGCTTCTAGGTTCTTCTAATGTTAGTCTAGCTTAGATCAGTTCGTGATTTTAACTACCGAGATAATATGCAATCTCTACAAATCCTCTTTATTAGTTTAAATTACTTTGATGATTCAAACATTAAGGGAGTGCACAAAAAACACCGTAAATGAACCTCAGATTGTAGTAGCATTGAGGCAACTCATCAGTTAGTTGTACAAGTCTTACTTTAGTCTTGTCTGCCTTTACTTTTAAGGGAAAACGGTACATGTAGTGATCTTTGAATATTTACACTTACAGCTTCCTACATGTTTATAAAAACTATGATCATACCAACATGCTATTTACTGTAGACTAAGATGTCAGTCTGTCAGTTACAACGTAGAACTTCGTACGTAAGTACATCAGTTCATGTCGCCATACCACGTTAGCACAGAGACGCAATTGTCAATTCAAGTCCCATTGTGGTAGAGATAGTAGCAGTATTAGCAGTAATGAAGAAGATTAGGATTTGAAGATAATATTCAAGAAGCATAATTCAGTGAGATAAGTTTAGAAAGACAAGGGTAGAGGTGTTGACGAATCCAGAAGATTAGGATTTGAGAGAACACAAAGAGTGGATGCACCTGCACTATTGCAAACGATCTTGAGCCATGTCATTCAAGGTCTGGCTGGGAGTTCTATATGAGTGCACATACCTATGAAGAGTTCCATGCTGTAAAAAAGCTGTTTAGTGCGCCCTAGTTATTAATAGTTCTTTCAGTTGAAGTCAGACTTTGATGCAAACTTATTTCGTGTGCTCATTAACTATTAAACACAAGCTAATTTACACAGCTGTTTATGCCGCAAATGATTTGGTAATTGAATGTCAAAATAAAACAAGGTTGTTGTATCTTTTTGGTTTGTGTCATCTTGTAAGACGACAGTATTTGGACATTACCTCTGCAAGTATAAGCATATATGATAAAATTGGTCAACTGAAACAGTTTGCGAAAACCATTATTTATAAAAATTGTATTACTAACCTGCCATATGGGAACACGATCACGGGCTTTTTCATTAACCATTGCACATATTGATAAGACGTGTGCACAGCTACTAGTATTTGGTTGAAAATGTGGCCAAAGCCATTGCTCGTTTCAAGAGCTGGACATCGACGATGTGAAAATCCAGATGCCAGCAACTTTTGGCGATCAATCCGTTCCATCACATGTAATTGAAAAGGTCTGTATACATCTGTTGGACATGCTGATGAATGGTTATTATCTAATGACTGCTAAGTTGTAGTCCAATAGGTACGAGCAAGCTGACTGATCCGATCTTGGGATGCATAGTCACGAAATGACTTCCTTTTTGATGTATTTCTCGTGTTAATCAGCCAGTTTACAATGATTGTTTATCTTTCGTGATGTTTTAAAACAATTCTACCAAAATCATATTTTCAACCATTCAATTTTGATCATCAGTTATCTGGTTATATGGCATAACTTTGTCTGTTTTTTTGTTCTGTCAGTTGTGTAATAAATAATATGTGATGAGGTCAGTATTATGTAAAAAATAGAAAAAGTCAACTGATTTAAATAAAAATACTAATGAATTTTGAATTTTTATTATGATTATTTTTGTTGTTTGTTTTTTATTTTTTTTAAAAATAAAATTCCGATGTACACTGTGATGATATCAGGTCAATATAAAATTGATGTAAATTATGAAGGTTTAGCTGTACCAGGCAGTCCATTTTATATTGATGTTGTTCCTGGTTGTGATTCAAAACGTGTCAAAGCTTACGGTCCTGGTTTAGAAAATGGTTCACATTTAAAACCTGGTGTTCAAACAAGTTTCACGGTGGATTTAACCGGAGCTGGTCAAGGTGGTTTAGGTTTAGCTGTTGAAGGACCAAGTGAAGCACCGATCGATTGTCATGATAATCATGATGGCACATGCACTGTCTACTATACACCATCTGTTTACGGTTCTTATAGTGTATATATACGATTTAATGATTTAAATGTTCCAGGTATGTGAAAATGATTTCTTTAGTTTTTTTTTTATTTTGAGTGTGTGTGAATCAATTGAAGATGTATAAGCGAGTTCACTATGTCTTATGTAGATCGGATTATGTTGGAACTCTAAAAAATTGAAACTTTTATCAAACTGATCAGTATATATTGTCAACTGTTTATGTGTCATCAGAGAATACATCATTTTATTCTCATAGTGAAAAGCTTCTTTTTTCTTTGTGGAATTCAAAATCTATACATAAAAGAAACAGTGATGAAAGTGACATACAACAATGTGCATTACGGGGTTGTGAAGATGGTTAAGTTACACATTTTTTGAAACCATGAATCGATCACAGTTAGACATTAACACCGTTAAATACCGTCTCAGTGGTCTAACGGTCAGGGCGTTCGCGCACAATACCGAGTGTCCTGGGTTCGAATCCTGCGGGGTGCAGGAGTCGTGGATGCGCACTGCTGAGGAGTCCCATACCAGGACGAAACGGCCGTCCAGTGCTTTCTTTTGATGGTTTCAAAAAATGTATACAACAATGTGTCAAACTATAAAATGAATTGATCACTGAAGCCTACGGATAGCATCAATCGTAGTCACTTAAAATTAAAGTAAAACTTTAGGGTTGACAAAGGATTCTAAATAGTGTTATGTAACATTTTCAACTGTCAGTCACCATAATATCGTGAAATTCAACCAACTAGTCGTCTGTATTCATTAACACAAGGCCTATTCCAACAGTCAATGAGTTGATGGAATGAACAAGTGTACCCATACAAAAAAAAATTGTTTATATTTTCATTAAAAGTAATTTTCTAGTAAGATGAATCATTATTTCTTATCTAAGTGTTAGGTTCAGTATATTATTTGACCATTTTATTTCTCATTGATAAAATCATTCATTGAGTTGTTACATAAACATGAAGTAGTTGAAACTTCATTAACCTAAAATATGGATCTATTCAACCTTCTAATTCATTATTCTTCATCCAATAGACTATTCCCGATTCCCATAGTGTTTATATTATGAACTGATCTTAGCTAGACCACCGTTAGACTCTTGGAGCCACTAGACAGTCGTCTCATTCTACTATGAGAGACTTCACAGCAGTGAACATCCACGACCTCTGTCACCGGGGACCAAATAAATCTGTACCAACTCTTAACACTTATAAACCACTAAGTCGGGTATAAATGATGTACAACGTGTTGTCATTTGTTTGTTACATTAATAGAAAGCCATTTATTTCAAATTACCGATCATTATTATGTTTATGCTAAAATTGATTTAGGAAGTCCATTCAATGTAAATGTTAAACCGAATGCTGATCCAAATCAAGTTAGATGTTATGGTTCTGGTTTGGAGTCTGGTTTATTACGTGCTGGATGGCCAGCCTACTTTACTGTGGATACAAAAAATGCTGGTGATGCACCTTTACGAGTATGCTATGAATTCTTGTTTATAAATGTCTATTATTTTATTTAATGATTGATTCATAGTACAACTGAAACTATTCAACATCATATTGTTTTAGATTAATGAACGGTATGTCGTTCATTTTCCACTCATATTGCAACTACACACATCGGTTCGATATGCCTTGCTAGCATGGTTCAGTATGTAAACGAAACAAGATAACTAGAAAATATGCTCATACTAGCTTAATTAAAATGCATAAAAGTACCGAATTATCAATACATTTGACAAACTGAACAAGTAAATAATCGCTCACGAAAGCATTTCTGCAATTCCTAATAGTCTTTTGCCATGATCTGTGTGTTGCTGAGGCGAATATCTTCTACATGCCCAGAGAGAGTAGAAGATATTCGTAGGTTACTGATTTTCGATCATAGGTGTCTTCGAAGCATTGCTCGTATATCGTGGGACACCCGAGTGAGCAACGCTGTTATTAGGAATCGGGTGCTAGGTAAGAATGACAGATCAATAGACGAAGTAATGAAACTTCATCAGTTGAGGTGGTTGGGACATGTGTTGCGTATGCCCAACCACCGACTGCCTCGTCGAGCTTTGTTTTGTAGTGTAGGAATAGGTTGGAAGAAAGTTAGGGGCGGCCAAACCAAAACATGGCAGAAATCCATTAAGTCATTGACTAGTGGACTGAGCCATGTCGGTAATTGTCGACTACCTGGTTGGGGTCCGCGAGACGAAAGTCACCGATGGTTACAGACCCTGAATGACCTGACTCAAAACCGTTCGCAGTGGTGCCGGTGCACTTATTCTTTGTGTTCTCTCAAATCCCAATCTTCTTGATTCTTCAACCCCTCTAGTTTTGTCTTTCTAAACTTTTCTCAATAAATCATACTTCTTGAATAATATCTTCTAATCCTAACCTCTCCGATTACTTCTGATACCTTTACTACCTCTTCTACTATTGGATTTGAATTGACAATTACATCTCTGTGCAGATGTGCTATGGCAACATGAACTGATGTACTTACGTACGAAGTTCTACGTTGCAACTGACTGCTGAGGCAATTCAAGAGATGTCTTATGAAATATCGCAGAACTTGAATTTCAAATGACTGTAAGCAGGATTAGTTCATTTAGCATCGGAGATGCTTAAAACACTACCATGAGTTTATTGCTTCGATAGGCGTTTGTGAAACATCGTCATACATTAGCAGTTATACGCGCCGTCTATGTTAATCGATTTTAATGAATGATCACATTTTTAACGTAAAAAGCTACACTATTTTGTTCTTAAAATTGCTTTTTCTCTGGTAAACTAACTGATTTGATACTTATTTCTTGTTTTATTCTTTTAACTTTTTATTTTTGAAAATCTTCTTTGGTTATTATTTTTCACAGGTTATGTACACTCCGAAATCTGGTGGAGAATTATCTCGTGCCATTGTTCAACCATTCGGTAGTGGTAGATCAGAAAAAGACTCTAATCAACAACATTATCATAAGGTTACATATACTCCTGAAACAGATGGCCCATGTCGAATTGAAGTCATGTATAATGATGTGCACATTCCCGGTTCGCCATTTATTGTGAATATACGTAAAGCATGTGAACCGGAACGTGTTCGTGTCCTGGGTGCAGGTGTTGAAGGTCCTGTGCTTGCAAGCTTACCAGCAACGTTTACAGTGGATGCTCGTGACGCCGGCATGGGAGATTTAACTTTGGGTCTTACTGTAAGAACATTTATTAATGTATACTGTATTTCATTTTATTAAGCTATTTGCTCTATTTTTTATTTATTCAATGTTAAATTTTTACTCATGGAAGGCTTGAACGTGTAGGTTCTCACGATCTAAACTTATTTATAATCGATGAAACAACTGATGCTCCTCTCCATGTGATCCTCAACCGATGTTATATTCCATACATTATTAATACAAGATTTCCTCCTGCTTCCCCCCGCCTCACCCACCTTGAACAGACAAAATTCTGCTAGCGCATTGAAGCGTTAAAAAATATAACATCACTACTGCTCAGTCAAGCAATGTAGATTGGTCAATATGCTGCTTGTAAATTCATTATTTAAAATGAGAATTTTTTTCGTCTATTTTTGGCTGGTGTAAAATATGCCATAACGTAATGTGAATAAATCTAGTCAGTCAGTGTATCTGGCGGGTACTGCAAGCACCATCGTTTGTAGACTAGCACGCCTTCTGCTTGAATTTGGTTCACTCAAAAAGAGCGGTTATTCTCTTAAAAATGACGTTTATATCATTCATTCATGACTCTTGTATGGTTTATGTTTTATACGTTATTATTGCCCCACAATTGCGATGTGACTTTGTTTCTTCATTGCTTTCACCGATTTCATAGGATCCTAAAGGACAATCTGTCCCAGTTCGTGTGGTACCATTATCGGTAGATAGTGAATCTACCGTGACCAATGGTGTAGTCCCATCGGTAACAAGTTTAGCATCTGGTGATGTCAGTGATAGTGGTTTATTATCGTGTACTTATGAACCGTATTTAATTGGACCGCATAATATTCATGTTATGTTCGCTGGAGTTGAAGTGGATAATAGTCCATTCACTGTTCAAAGTGTAGCTACTGGTAGAGCTGATTTATGTGAAATTAAAAGTATGTTGATGAAACTTATTCATTTTTTTTTGTTACATATGTATTGTTGTCATGTGTTTTGTGTTAATGTTCATTATTTATTCAAGTGTTAATACTTTTAATGAAATGATTTTTTTTTTAGGTGGCATAAAGAAAATTATACCAGTTGGCAAAGAAAATGTCATTACCGTAGATACTTCATCAGGTGGTAAAGGTCGTTTAACTTGTCAAGTGATTCAACATCCAACTAAACAATCTTCAACTACGTCTACTCTTCTCCCAGTTGAAACAGAAGATAATGGAGATGGTACCACGTGTGTGTATTATACACCAACACAATTAAGTGAATTAAATGTGGAACTGCGTTACGGTGGTCAATTAATTCCTAATGGTGAATTTGTTCAAAAAGTAAGTGGTTGGTTTTTATGCTTAGGCAACAGATATACATTGTACTCAGTATTTTTCAAACAGAGGCGTACAAATTAGCTTAAATACTTTTATTTACTTATCATCCCATTTCCCAGGTAAGCATTGATGTACTTGTTCACAAGCCATACTATAAATGACAGTTAATGATTCTACCTAGTCACTCAAACCAAAAAATGTTCATGAACCACCATTCAAACCTGCAGCTTGATGACTTAACATCAGAAAATTTCTAATCATGGACTCATTACTACATTGATTATTAATATAAGATGATTTGTTCACGGTGAGGCATCACTCTAATGCCAAATGGATCAGTTTTAATCATATCATCAAAATGTTAATCTATTAAAAATAGTTATTGTCTATATTATTATTATTCAGTCAATTGCAACGTAAGAACTTCGTACGTATGTACATAAGTTCATGTTGCCATACCACATGAGCACAGAGACGCAAATGTCAAATCAAATCCCATAGTGATAAAGATAGAAGGGGTATTAATGGTAGTAATGAAGAAGACTAGGGTTTGAAGATATTATTCAAGAAGTGTAATTCAGTGAGATAAGGTTAGAGGTGCTGATGAATCCAGAAGATTAGGATTTGAGAGAGCACAACGAATGGATGCACTTGCGCAATTGTAAACGATTTTGAGCCATGTCACTCAAGGTCTCTAACCATCGGTGACTTCCGTCTCGCTGACCTCAACCAGGTAGTCTACATCTACCAACATGACTCAGTCCACTAGTCAATGACTTCATGGATTTCTGTCATGTTTTGGTCTGGCCGCCCCTAGCTTTCTTCCAATCTACTCCTACACCACAAAACATCACTCGTCGAGGCAGTCGGTGGTTGGGCATACGTAACACATATCCCAACCACCTCAACTGATGAAGTTTCACTACTTCATCTATTATTATTATTATTATTATTATTATTATTATTGACATTAGACACAACTGACTTTCCGCATATTCATTATATATCATCTATCTGTCTTTTTTGTCTTACTTATTGTTACCTATTATTATTACTATTGACATTGTGTTGCTATTTTTGCTAATTTTTATTATATTCTCATTACCTTTTTAGGTAGTGTCACCTGAAGATATAACAGATGACAGTGTGAGTGGCTGTTTATTATTATTGTTAGACATTAGATAATAATTAATTCATAACAATTTCATCATGATAATTATAGTTGGGCTGTTTTTATTTTATCTCTCTCTCTTGATTTTATATGGTATTTCGCCAAAATCATTGTTTCCTCCCTCTCCCACTCCTCCTCTTTGTTTTTTTCCCTTCCCTTCCCTTACACTGACCACATTAAATATGAATTATTCACTGAGTTTTAATTGATTTAACAAACACCAACACTGGACCGTGTGCGTTTATTCATAAAATTCTATCAATAATAACTGAAAAATAGTTAAACAAGAAACACGTTGTAATCATCATTTCTTCTTCATCATATTACCTAATTGTGTTGACCACCAAAATAATCAGTACTGAGGTCAGATTCAGAGTACTAGATCAAAAAAGGAAGGAAGAATTGGTTCACATGTCAATGGATTTTTATCGACTAACACATGAGTTATGATGTATGCTGTTACGGGTATGAGGGCGGTTGTCACTTCCCGGCTGCCCACACCGTGGAAGGTTGTTTCTTGAGGGACCTGAAAAGGAAGATAGATAAGTGTTGGTCTTGGAGACCTGGGTGCGTGACCGCAGAGTCCAAGGGACAGCTGCTTAAGGCCGGTCACGCACGGCCTTTTTATGAAAAGTTTTTTGAGGATTAGCTCCGTTCTTAAAGGCCCTTAGTGGGCACCCTTACCCGAGGAGACGGAAATCCGTGAGGTATGGGAGGTGTGACATTTTTAGGGTCGACCTTTTCTAACCCTTCCTTCCTTGTGAGAAGGCAGCATCGCTGCAGATGCTGGTTGTTCGAGGGAAACACCTTACTGCTGTCACACCCCTCTGCAGTCAGCAGTACGACTTCCACGTCAAGGTAACAGCTACGGTCGAGAGTTATGATGTATGCTTTCTAAGCATGCATGAGTGAGTACACCTCCGTAGTTTATAAGAGAACTAGGTGTAGCCAAACTATAAAATGTGGCATCATTTTACGGAGTCAATAACTGTTGTACCGAGTTTTGTATAGTAGATGAAGGCTACGTTCTTACGGGCAGGTGAAATTCACGTAGCTAATGGTTGGATACGTTGGATCACATGAAAAAGATATTTCTACTGGGCTCACTTTGAAGTGAACTTATTCCTTTTAGTCGAAGCTTTTCAATTAATGATGGTCATTGATAGTTAGATGCTTCATTATTATTATTATTATTATTATTATTATTATTATTATTATTATTATCTGAAATGATGTTATCGACTTGGTTGTTGAAAATATATATTACTATGAACAGTACATAATGTCAAGAACGTTGTTTGCGTGACTTAGATCATGTTGATAATTTTGTAAAATGGAATTTTTGCTTTTCCATTGTTTCCTCCTTTTCCTCCAGTCGCATTCAACTACGTACCGACCTGTTGTATTTTGTCTACCAGCTCCTCGAAATAAAGGAACTATTGAAGGTATTGTTTTTTTCTATTATGATTTCCATTGTATGCTTTAATTAAATAAAAACCCGGACTGTTTTTCACAATAGTTGTAAGAGGATGGAACATCTTTATCAGCCAGCATCTTAGCTATTCCAAGTTACATATATATGCAGTTCTAGTCTTTTGAATAATAATGTGTGACAGAGGATATGATGAATTTACGAAAACAATATCTTAATTGACATGATGGAGCACAATGTCAGTCAGTCAGTTTCAACGTAGAACTGCGTACGTACATACATCAGTTCAGGTTGCCTTATCACATTAGCACAGAGACGCAATTGTCAGTTCGAATTCAATAGTGGTAGAGATAGTAGACGTATTACTGGTAATGGAGAAGATTAGGGATCGAATATATAATTCACTGAGATAAAATTTAGGAAGAGAAAGATAGAGGTGATGAGGAATTCGAGAGAACGCAAAGATCGGATGCACCTGTGCCATTGCAAACGGTTTTGAGCCATGTTGTTCAATCTCGCTAACCATCAGTGACTATCATCCCACGGACACCAACCAGGTAGTCTGCATCTGCCAACATAACTCAGTCCACTTGTCAGTGACTTAATGGATTTGTGCCATAGAGCACAATGAACTATCATTATTCATTGACTGATGGTCAAAACATCACCTGCTACACCGAAATGAATTTACAAAACAAAATGTTTACCCTGTTAAAACAACTTGTTCCGAATATAGAAAACATCCTGCAGATTCAAACATGTCAGCATGTCGTTCAAAAAACAATCAGTCAAATGACATAGACAGAACCTCGTACGTAAGTACATCAGTTCAAGTTGCCATACCACATATCAGCACACAGAGACGCAACTGTCAGTTTCAAATCGAAGAGTGATAGCGATAATAGTCAAATGACATGCATCATTTAGAATCGACAAATCATGTAGATGAACTATTAACTACCACCATCTTTGTTGAGAGTTAACCGTGACATAACTTTGTGTTATAGTTTTTTTGCAACAAAAAACAACTGCAACCACTACTTATCCGTTTTTTTTTAAAGCTACTCATTTCATTGAAGGAAATGAGATGTAAATTCTTTGTTATGGGACATTCCAAAACCTTTCTGTAGTAGATGGATGCTATTGGTTGCTGTTGTTATCAGTCTCTGTTCTGTTGTGTTAAGGTTTATTTATAACTAGTTCAATATTTCATTGTCATTTGTACCATTCTAAATAAATAATCTCATAATTGGTTCAATCAATGATCATTGAATTGAAAACATTAGACATGTTTTTTACACAATGTCTCAGTCTGATTATACATATTTCACACACACTAGATGACTCATATAATAAAATACACTCACATACTGTAAACTTGGATTTTAACATTGAAATATGTTGAAAATAATTATTGTTAGGAGAACTATTTCTATGATCGGACTTATATTTTGGTGATTTTGTTAATTTGTTCTACTTTACACTTGCACATAACTGTTATCCTTAATGGCGTATAGGCAGGCCACCGACCAGCATTCTTCGACCTACTCGATATTAGGCTTTTCTTTCCAGCTCTAACAGATTACCATTCATTCTTTTTCATGTTTTGGCCAAATCGAAACATGGCACAAATCCATGAAGTCACTGACAGGTGGACTGAACCGTGTTAGTAGTTGTACACTACCTGGTTGCGGTCCGTGAGACAATGGTTAGCGACGTTGAACGACATGGCTCAAAATCGTTTGTAATGACTCAGATGCATCTTTCTCTTTTTAAATTTATTTCACTTAATTCTACTTCTTGACTAATATTTTGGAACCGCTAGTAATTCTACTATTTGTACTACTATGAGATTTGAATTGACAACTGCGTCTCTGTGCTAATGCAGTATGGCAACTTGAACTGATGTACGTACGTACGAGGTTCTACGTTTCAACTGACTGATTAACTGATTTTTCATGTCCGTCTAAGATTCTCGACATAATGCGTTCTTCGGTTTACTCCTTTCCTTTTACCCTGAGGATTCCAAGTAAGGGCTTGTCCTGTGATGCAGTTGGGTGCTCTATGCGATGTATCCTATCCACTTCCTGGGCTTTTTGCTAATTTCTTCTTCAGCTGGAACCTTGTTCGTTCTTCCTCACATTAGGTTGTTGCTGTTGGTATCTGGGCAACGAATTCAGAGTATCTTGAGTAGACAACTATATCTTGTAGATGATGGCCTTTGTGGTTCTTCTACTTTCCGCTCCATACAGTAGAATTGTTTTGACGTTCGTATTGTAAATTGTGACTTTGGTATTTGTTTAACAGTTGTTTTGAGTTTCAGATGTTCTTTAATGATAAAAATACTGCCCTTACTTTACTAGTCTGTGTATTCACATTCGTGTCAGATCCACCTTCTTTATCAATGATGCTGCCCAGATATGTGAAGGTCTCTATATCTTCCGAAACTTCTCTGTCATGTTGAGTTTTATCGTAAGATTTTGCTTTTTCCCTTGTGTACGTTGGAACATACTTCAGCAGAGGCTACTTCTACACTGGTCGTCTTCACCTGCATTTATTGTGTATGGGATAGAAGATCTAGAATATTTGTGAAGTCCAGATCGTCTAGCTGCATCCTGATCGTCTACTGAATTCCATACTTCCCCTGAGATGTTGACGTCTTGATAATCAGGTCAAGGAAAGGCGAGAGTAAGCAACCTTGTACGGCACCGGCCTTCACTTGGAATGCATCTGTGAGCTACTCTCTAGGCACGTCTGTGCAGCATAATCCATCGTTAGGATGCCATGTGGTCTTGACTATCTTCTCAGGTACACCGTAATATCGAATAAGCCTCCATTATATCATCCTGTTCACCCTGTCAAATGCTGTTTCGTTATCTATTAGGCTGGTACATATTGATGAGTTCCTTCCAACTGATTGTTCCAAAATGATTCGTAGTGTCGTGATTTGGTGGGTAGACGATCGATCTTAACAGAATCCAGACTGCTGATCATAAAGTTGGGCGTCAACTGAATCTGCCATTCCGTTCAACAATACTCTATGGACGATTTTTCCTGGTATTGAGAGTAAAGTGATGCCTCTGTAGTTTTCACACTTACTAAGATCTCTTTTCTTTCATGTCTTGATGAGTTAGTGCTTCTTATGGCCTAAAATCTCATGAAATGCTGAAGTTAATGCTTCTTTAACTCTTTTTCATTCAGTTGTTCACTATGATTATTTCTTCTTTATTGAGTAGATCATGAAGGGCTTGAATTCGATGATCTTGCCGGTATCCTAGTATTCAACCTTTGTGATGATTTTTGTCCAGTTCTCCAGTGTTTCCTAAGTTTGAGTTTCATCTTGGTCTCCACCATGTGGTAATCTGGAGCTATGTCAGCTCTCCTCTTTGTTCTTACATTATCCTCCACAGATATTCTGAACATCTTATCGATGGAGATGTTACCGATCTGGTACTCTGTAATGTCGTTTGGCGGAACCCTTATAGCTTTGTGTCTGTTTTATGTGAGGATATGGTGCCACCTAGCTAAATGCACATAGATTTACATATCTCTCACTAATTCTGTTCGTTCTACCAGTCCATGTCGTCCTATGATACGTTCATATCCTGTGTTGTCCATTCCAACTCTGGTGTTTACGTCTCCCATCAAGTTGGTCAAGTCGTTTGTTGTACGATCGACTATAGTCTCTCATAAAATCAATCTTTATCATCTTCGTTGCTCTCATTGGTGAATGTATTGCACTGGATGACATTCATTTTAATGCCGTCTTTTTTTTTGTTTTGAAGGATGCTGTGATGATGCTGACTCCATAAGATTCCCATCCTATCAGTGCTTTTTGAACCTCTTTTGACACTATCAGTGCAACATCTTGTGTCAGGCATTTTCCTCTTCATGGCTGGAGTAGTATAACAGCATCTCTCCTGAATCTAATAGGTTTTGTCGCATGTGTGTCCGAATGGTTTCAGTTATTCCAAGTTGTATTTTTTCCTTTCTGTGGCAACCTTTCGTCAACCTTAATTAATTTCTAAAGGAAACTTATCAAGGCTCATCATTCATCGATTGTGATATCGACTAGATTTCAATTATAGTCTTTATCGTATGTGGCTAACAATAATGCGCGCAGGACATATATTTCGTCCTATGTACAGCTCGTCAGTGTGATTTACTTTTTTTATTATAGTTTGTTGATGTTCACATTAAAAGTTGAATCTTGTTCTCTTCACTTCAAACAATGATACACCACTATCCATTGGAGTTCGAATAGGCCTTAACACTTGTTCAATCTATATGAGACAGAGATAAAAAAAAAACTGCAGTTTCACATAAAAAATAACTGAAATTCACAAAAATCCAATCATATTTGGTTATTATGTATCCAACTACCATAACGTTGTTATCTCTTATATCTGTTTATTATCCACTGTGATATTCATCTCAACTCAATGGTTTATTCTTGATTTCAGCTATTGTAATACGTCCATCTGGTTTACAACAACAAGTACCAATTAAAATGAATGATGATGATACAATCACTATAACATATGATCCTGTTGAACATGGTATGCATGAATTACGTGTAGATATTCATTCGTCGGTGAAATCTGGTTCAACAGACAATACAGTCACTATGCCATTACAAGGTAGTCCATATAAATTTTATGTAGATAGTACTGGTACTGGTCGAATTACTGCCTATGGTCCTGGTTTAAGTCATGGGATAACTTCTCAATTAGCTGAATTCACTATTGTCACAAAAGAAGCTGGTGTTGGTAAGTGTATTATTTATGATATATATCACTGTTGGTTTAATGAAAATTTCGTTCATCTGTTTGTTATATTGATCAACCTGATTTACTAGTTATAAACTTGTCTTTTAAATGATCAATCAGTTGTTAACTACAGGTCATTCGCCAATTGGATAGCTCAGTGGTAATGCCTTTGTGACTTGGTGTAAATTGAATCCACCCGGTAAGTATTATTTCTTTCAAGACCAGAAGTGTCAGCAGATAACCCGAAACCTATGTCCAGAGTTTCTTATCTCCGACCACCATGTTACATTTTGAGTAACAGCCTAATGGTATACTACTACCCAACTTGTTCAACCCGCTAAAATTGTAGCCAAGTTTGAATCTGCGACTTATTGACCAATTTATTTAAACACTGAACAACTACTCTAAATAATTCCGTACACCAATTGAGATTCTTGACATCAATAATGCGAAAATACAACTCACAATTATCAAGCTTGACACAAAATTCAATCTTGATCTTCTTTTTTGAATAATAATGTACGCCGCCCATATTTATTACATTCTTACATTTGTCATATTGAATTGGCTGAAACCCACTAAATATTGCTTCTCTTGATTTTTTTAAAAATTGTATTTATCTATGGTTAGGCGGTTTATCCGTGTCTGTAGAAGGTCCTTCCAAGGCGGAAATACAATGTGTAGAGAATGCGGATGGCACCTGTAGTGTGAGTTATTTACCGCTTGCACCTGGTCAATATACAATTACAATTAAATTTGCAGATGAACATATATCTGGATCACCGTTTGTTGCTAAAATTACAGGTTAGTAGATAGTAGTTGATGATGATGTTCTGTAACTTCTTTCTTAACTAGAATTCACTGTAATGCGTGTGCAACAATGCAAGCATGTTCGGGATGCGGTTTTCCACCTCGAAATGCAAAATGTTACTTCAAGACTGGGTTGCATCGGTACCTGAACTAGTGATAGGGAGTGAAGTAGTCGAACGTGTTGACCGCTTCACTTATCTTGGGAGTCTCATCAGTGCCGATGGCCTGGTGACTGACGAAATCTCAGCTCGGATACAGAAGGCTCGATCGGCTTTTGCCAACCTGCGTCATTTATGGCGTAGGCGAGATATCCGTTTGCTGACTAAAGGACGAGTGTACTGCGCAGTAGTTCGCTCCGTCTTACTTTATGGCTGTGAAACATAGCCAGTCAGAGTAGAAGATATTCGTCGGTTATTGGTTTTCGATCATAGACGTCTTCGAAACATTGCTCGTATATCGTGAGATACCCGAGTGAGCAACGCTGTTATTAGGAAACGGGTTTTAGGTAAGAATGGCAGATCAATAGATGAAGTAATGAAACTTCATCAGTTGAGGTGGTTGGGACATATGTTACGTATGCCTAACCACCGACTGCCTCGTCGAGCTTTGTTTTGTAGTGTAGGAATAGGTTGGAAAAAAGTTAGGGGCGGCCAAACCAAAACATGACAGAAATCCATGAAGTCATTGACAAGTGGACTGAGCAATCTCGGTGATGGTCGACTACCTTGTTGGGGTCCGCGAGATGATAATAATCGATGGTTAGAGACCTTGAATGACATGGCTCAAAATCGTTCGCAATGGCACAGGTGCATTTATTCTCTGTGTTCTCTCAAATCCTAATCTTCTGGATTCTTCAACACCTCTAGTTTTGACTTTCTAAACTTTTCTCACTGAATCATACTTCTTGAATAATAATATCTTCTCATTCTAACCTCTTCGATTACTTCTAATACCTTTACTACCTCTTCTACTATTTGATTTGAATTGACAATTACATCTGTGTGCTGATGTGGTATGGCAACATGAACTGATGTACTTACGTACGAAGTTCTACGTTGCATCTGATTGACTGACTGAATGCGTGTGCGTACAGACATTTTAGTTATTCACTTCTGCCTCAATATGTTATAGTTTTTTTTTCGTAAGAATATGCAATGAAGTAATTACCCGATTGATCAGGCTGTCTAAACTACCATTCCTAAGCGAAAGCTTAAACTATACTCTTGTGTTACTTAAGACAGTGAGTGATACTGTGAAGTTGATCAAATGTTGAATTTGTGGTTGGTGTATTCTCAAACCACCAGTGTATAAATAATAAGTAGTGGTTGGCGATTAGTTCTGACGTCTTTTATGAAACCCAATTAGTAGAAAGCATTATTGTATTTGCTCTACTAGCTAGACTAGAATGTTCATATATATATATATATCTGATATCCTTCGTGACTGTTAATTTATATCCATGGTCTGCAGTATGGAATAATCTTACTTAAATCACGGTTAGGAGCTATAAGACGCGCTTAACAGCTGTTTCAGCTTACCGTTGCTTTCCTCAGCAGTGCAAATTCATAACCAATCCACCGCAGATTAAACACATAGCATTCAGTTTTGTATGTAGGTGCTTAACTTCTAGACCACCTGAACCGACATCCAACAGTATCACTGTTTAGATTCAATCAGTTTGTGATATTGCGTAACCATCTTCCATGACCTGTGATGAATAAATGCCCCACACCTAATTTCGTTAAACTTCACTAGTTACGGCTTTTCACTAAGACTCACTAGGAATTGTACCCTGAAATCGGCCACTAGTAAATGCAATGTTATTATCAGTATACCGGTGTTGTGTAGATTCTTGAATTTGTCACCTATTTCACAAATTAATGTAAAAGTCAGTAGTTGTTGGTGCTCAATACTGAAAGTCTTGATATTTCGATCCCATTTGATGCGCACTCTTGAGGAGTCTAATACTAGGATGAAACAACTGTTCACGGCCTCTAGGGTTGGTCATTTGACTAAGATCAATCCGTAATGTAATTTATAATGTAATTTAGAAATCACTACAAAATCCTTATCATGAATGTTAATTAATTCTCTGAAATGCATGTATGTATACAGGCCCCAAAATATCAATTTCAAAAGGGAAAGGTAGGTTTTTTTGGTTCACTGTCTTGTGTTGTTAACAATCACAATCCTCGTAGCCCTCCTGGTGCACTCACTGTCTGTGTTACTAATATTCATTTTCAGTAGACTAGTACAATAATAGTAATTGTAATTTCCTTCATTAATTTATCCTAGACAGCTAGACAACCATTGAAAATCAAGGAGTTCTAAGCATTTTTTTTTCATTTTCCATCTTATGGAACTCTTTCTCTCTCTCTCTCTCTCAACACTGCGTACCCTACAACCCCTGATCAGTGATCAAATCCTGAAGTCTTGAGATTTCACTGTGATCGCATTATATTTCTAAACCAAATTGTTTGATGTCTAGTCATGCACTTACTTACTTATTTACGCCTGTTACCCCCAATGGAGCATAGGCCGCCGACCAGTTTTCTCCAACCTACTCTGTCCTGGGCTTCCTTCTCCAGTTCTTTCCAATGTTTGTTCATTCCTCTCATATCTTTCTCTATTTCTCGGCGTAGTGTGTTCTCCAGCCTTCCTCTTTTCCTTTTGCCATGAGGGTCCCGTGTGAGGGCTTGTCTCGTGACGCAGTTGGGTGCTTTCCAAAATGTGTGTTCTATCCATTTCCACCACATCTTCCTGATTTCCTCCTCCACTGAAAGAATCTGGTTTGTTCTCTCCCATAGTACATTGTTGATAGAAGTGTCTGGCCAACGAATCCGAAGTATTTTGCGTAGACAACTGTTAATAAACACTTGTATCTTCTGGATGATGGCTTTCGTAGTTTCCCAAGTTTCCGCTCCATACAGTAGAACTGTCTTGACATTTGTATTGAAAATCCTGATTTCAGTTTTGGTTGAAAGTTGTTTGGAGTTCCAGATATTTTTCAACTGTAGAAATGCAGCCCTTGCTTTGCCAATCCGTGCCCTCACATCTGCATCGGATCCACCTTTCTCGTCGATGATGCTGCCCAGATATGTAAAGGTGTTAACGTCCTCCAAGGCATCTCCATCAAGAGTGATTTGGTTGGTGCATGTTGTGTTGTATCGGAGAATCTTGCTTTTCCTTTTATGTATGTTGAGACCTGCTGCTGCTGAGGCTGCTGCTACACTGGTCGTCTTCTCTTGCATTTGTTGTTGCGTGTGCGATAGAAGAGCCAGGTCATCTGCGAAGTCCAGATCGTCCATCTGCGTCCTAGCTGTCCATTGAATACCGTGCTTTCCCCCAGATGTTGACGTCTTCATAATCTAGTCGATCACCAGGAGAAAGAGAAAGGGTGAGAGTAGGCAACCTTGCCTGACATCGGTCTTCACCTCGAAAGAGTCTGTCTAGTCATGCACACTTACAACTATATGCGATACACATTGGCTCCGATGATTAGTGATATCTATCTCATTATAATCAACGGTTAACTTCATGGATCATGGCCCCTTATTATTAACTGACTGACTGACTAGTTAACACTTGATTATAAAGTCAACTAACATTTGAACCTTAACTGAACCAAGATCCGATCTTTGGCGAGGTTATGAACACTCCCCAGTGAGAAATCCTTTTAATATTCAAAACGAAACGTCTATTTCAGCCTGCGCCCTATCTTTAAATCAGTTCAAACTGTAAACTTGTGTCAGTAACTTTGAATTTCATCTTCTTGAATTGATCTCGAACCAGGCGATTCATATTGCTTGTTGGTTTATTCGTCAAGTTTAATTGTTGCTAGTGTAAAGTTCTCCATGTGGTTTTGTCTTTATGATAATAAACGCATGCTTATCATCTTATCATATATTGGAATCAACTAATTACTCGTTCAAATACATTGGATTTTTGTTGTTCGTAATATAAGTTGGGATTACTGGTTCTTGAGGAATTGAAACATTTATCACTAAATTATTCAACAGAATTGACTTACGAAAACCGTAAACAAATATGACACTGATTAGTTCCTATCCATCGGTTATGTCGAAATATAGTGTTACCTGGTGTTGATTGCATCTCTCTGCTAATGTGGTATGACAACTTGAACTTATGTACGTAGGCACGAAGTTCTACATTGCAACTGACTGACTGACTGACTGACTGAACTTTACACATAATAATCCACATTGAACAAAATTAAAACATATATACAATAATGGGCACCAACTAGGACCACTACTCATCGGTCAAATTTAAAAAAATAAGCAGACAAAAAATGGTATAAACGAACGGAAATGAAACACATTCAACACTTCAACTCCTCTTAAACTAGCTTGTATTTTTAAATACACATTCTCGTGTACATCAATAGTAATAATAACGGTTGAAGCTTTCGGAACAGTTAAATATGCAAGTTTTCATGGATAAGGACGAATAGAGTGTGATTGTTGTTGTTGTGTTGTGGTGGATGTTGCACATTGTAGGTTGATGACAACAATGACGGTGACCAACTTGAAGATTTCAATTTATCAACAGCAGATGTTACTGAACTTGATTCTTTCTCATCGTTCACTGCACTTTCAACTGGAACTCAAGTAACTTGATCAGATTTTCATTGACAGTTTATCAAAGCTGCTTCTAAATACTCGTCAAGTTTTCACTCAGTACATTTTGTTGTTGCATAGAAAAAGAAGCAAAAAAGTAAACAACTACAAACAAGTGATTCTTATCACAAACACCAAACAATGCATGAGACGTAAACCAGAACAGATTCTCTACAATCTTTCATCTGATATTAACTGTTGCAAAATTTACGATTAATTAAATTAAAAAAACTTATATCAAACTTTACTAAAGCTGTAAAATCGCATTTATAATTATTTTTTCACATATAGAAGTCATTAGAGAAGTGAGTAAAAAGTTGACGAAAACGTAACGTCGTCTAATAGTCAAAGGCCAATCA